ATTGGCGATCTTCACTTCAATCTTGCTCTCTATTAATGGGGATGTAGAGAAACACAAGAACACCAACAATTGAGGACTATAACCATATAAAATAATAGTAGTAATCGAATAGCCACTAACTTTTAGTTGCTTCAAATTGGCCCCTCATCAATTTAAAACAACACTCCGGTCTCTACACTATAATTTCATGAAATATAATACACATTAGTCACAAAACAACTTTATCGGATCACTTTAATAGACTAATATCATTTAAATAATAATACCACACATTTCAATATATAACGTATGACCCCATATATGCTGAAATTATCCAACAATGTACTTCCTCAATTTAAAGCTAGGCTTGTAGTAAAAGGGTTTTCAGAAATTGGACTTCACTGAAGTTTTTTCCATAGTTGTCAGACACACCTCCATCTACTTGCTCTAGCTGCACATCAAGACTTGGAATAGGAGCAAATGGATGTAAAAATGGTGGTCCCATGGGGATTTCAAAGAAACCATCTACAGTGCAACCACTAGTCTTTGTAGTCTGTTGTCGATTAAAGCTATAACACATTGGCCCATTGCTGAGATTGTGAATGAGGGAAAATGGTTGAAAGGAACGATAGGAGATCTACTGGAACTGAACCTCATACAATATCTTGTACGATAGCCAAAGTGCTATCCACCTTTCCAAAAATCAGGCTCATCATGAAAGAAGTAAGTAGATACGTGAGGCTACACATCTGAAGAAAAAATACTGAGGCTACCATTGGTCTCCTTGGTGCATGTTCCAAGTATTCAGAAGTCCTGAACTTTCGAAACACCAAAATTTTGATCATATGATTGATGATCTCCCATTGGCGCCTCAAAGGTGTTCGAAGTAGTGAAAAAGGTCCATTATCCATATCATGTAGTTGATTTCTTCGTATACTAAATTAAATTTCTTGTAGCCATGTCCAATGCATGCCAAATGCACTAGTACTCTAATTAGAAGTCACCAATACTATAAATAAATTAATAAGATAAACCTTTCACCCAATTTAGGTTATAAATTACGAGTATATCTTCCGCACATAAACAGCTTGCATGCATCATTCAAAATCTTCGACAAACCATTGTGCCGTTTATTTCAATGGTGAACAAATAAATAAATCATATTGTTGTAAATGGTAAGTTATTGGTGAATGACAATTGTACATCTGCGCCCTATAAATTATTATCGTATGTATATCTAATCCTTCCCTATAAATATAGGATTCTGGTTCTCAATATAATATACACAAATCTATTGACTTTTATTCCCTCTTCTCTTTTTCTCTCTTTTCACAACACATTATCAACACGAAAGCTTAAGTTTAGTAAATATAGTATTTTTTTTAAGTATAATAATTTATCGCGTGTACCAAAATTAACTTGGTAATACGTGAATTTTATATATTCATATGCTTGAATCATATAACAAATTCACTTCATTAGTTGCTAAGAATCATATGCATCTGAAATTATGGTTCTACCACAATGATATCTCCACCAACACATGCTTATGTCGGAATGATTATGTCCAATCCACTACAATTTGTTTCTTGTACACCCTACTTTTGCTAATTTAATTTCTCTTAATTATATATACATATTCTGATGCCGCAATCATTAGGTGTACATAGTTATTATTATTATTATGCTTTAATTAATCATGCTTTTAAATTCTGTAAAAATCTTCGACTGTAGTAGTGATATTTAATCATGCTTAAATATGGTAACAGTCTTTACAAGAAAATATTAACGGCCAAACCGATGGAATATATCTTTAGGGACCAATGACGTTACAGCATCAATAGATTGAAGACTATGACCAAGTTGCTACAAAGACCATAGTTTGGGGACCAATGTTACAATTTTCAATGAAGTATTATCTTATCATTTATTTCAGAATCAAGGCAATTCTTCACACATTCATACATAAACAATTTGGGGAAATTTTCTCAACAATAATATATAACACAATCAATGACTATCCACAATTCAAAATTTTCAGTCTGTATCTGTATCCAAATGGGGATTACATTCTTCAGAGTAAAAATCATTCTTCTCAATCAGGGCTCTCAAAATATCAACGGTAAACTCTTCACTGTTAGGATCACTCGTTGGCGACTGACTTGAGGAATCATCTGTATCCGGTTTCTTCAAGCTCAAGAAACACCCATAACCAACCTCAAAATCCCTTTTGGCCCAACACCCAGAATTGATTCTCTGCTTCCTCTTTTGATGCAAATTCTTCTTTCCTTTCTTGAACCCAAAGAAAGCCTTCTTTTTAGCCTTTCTGCAGTTTCCCTCTTTTGGATCGCCAATTTTTTTGGGCCTAACACCGCCGTCTTCCTCTTCATCTCCTCCGCTTCCACTGCCATCACTCGGTCGCTCTTTATCAGCCATTAAAATTAAAATATAATGTCACAATTATATATTATAATGTAGAGGACCACACCACACAGGCGGCAGAATACGCCAGATGAAAATGTAAAAAAAAAAAAAAGCAAGTTTATGTAATATAATAAAGGATCTACGCGGTACAGAATGGAGTATTAAAAACAGTAGGAAGAGATTGGAGAATTGGGATTTTTGAATGGAGAGAAAAAGAACGCGTTAGAAGCGAGTCTTCTTGTCGTTAACGCCAGAATGGTTGGGCTCCCAATCACGCAGCTTGCTTGAGAGGTGCAAAATTTATTGAATTTTTTTTTGTACGTTTTAATTTCTTTTTCTATTGATCATAAATATCGTTTCAATGAATTTAAACCAGCTTTAATTCAAGATATACGTATTTTTGGGTACGTATCCAAATTTTAATTTTTAACTTAATATGTAAAAAAGTAAATACTTGACCCAAAAAAAAAAAAAGCAGAGCCAATTTTATGTTACAAGGCACGACGAATTAATCGTATGTTTGGTTGGATTAAATTAAAAAGTTTTAGTAGATTTTAATAACAGTTAATGAAATATGTGGTTGAAAAGTTATAGATCTTATAAAATATGTAGTTAAAATTAATTATTAAATTTAATTTTAATTTCTATCAAACAAGACGAAATAGAATTATGAGAGCTCATACCAATCATTCATTATAAATAATGAGAAGCTGTAGGCACCATCCCCTGAATAGAAGTGTGGTAGGTCAAGATGTTTCGAGTATCGCTCTTTTAATAGGTAAATCGACAATCATGACTTGACGGACTTTATCGATGTCAATTTCCTTGAACAGTACTTTTGAAACATCTTTCAATCTTGTTCATGGGATCTTTCTTTAGCAAAAATTCTTGCATAAGGTGATTATTTTCAAATTTCCAAGTGGAATTAACTGACTTTCACATAAGCATAGTTGAGCGGAGCTCATCATGAAAATGTCGACTACTTCGTAACTCATCACATAGACAACCAAGACAGCGTGGGTATTTTTAAAATAGGAGTTTATCACACAAAACCTTAAAAAAAACAAATTTCTAATTAATTACATACCTACTATCAAATTGTGCTGATTTTATAAGTTTTTCTTTCTTTTCACTTTGTTTAAATGTTGTATAAACGTTGTGGTTAATTTAATTGGAAATAACATTGTTTGAATGTTTGGAACTTTTTGGTTTGTAAACCTCAAAAACCTAATACTTAGATTTTGCATGACTTTAAGGGTGCGTTTGATTGTAGAGGTGGAAAATGGGTGGAAAGAAAATGTTTTATAGGGAAAAGATTTGCCTAGAAAATGTTTTGCAGGAAAAATGATTTCAAGTGTATTTGATTAGTATAATTTTCCGCCCGAAAAATTTTTAAATTTTCTGTTAGTTTGGCTTTGTTTTACATGAAAATTGTCCATTAAAGTGATTTTTTTCCACAATTGGTTATAAAATTTGTTTCCATTGCCAAAAAGTAAAAAAAAAAAAAAGGAAAAAAAATTTTGGTTCCTAAAAAATAATTTTTTTA